TCCATCATGATTCATCTGGATTTTACAGGACTAGAGATAAATTAAATAGTGATGAGGAAGGGACAACCACCCCTGCATCCTTTAAGTCTTTGATGTTTGTGTTAATCTCTACAATTCCTCCCAAGATCCTGCATTATCTCTGATTTACTATCTTGGCCAGGGAGGGGAGGCAGTTTCCAACTTTGATCCTCCTTACCATTGTACTTCTTAATCCATCCCATTTATGCCATCCCAATTAATATCATATTCATCCCACCTACATATTAGGGGACAGAGAAATAATCCCAGGACCTAGAGAATCTACTGTGAGCCAGACTTGTGCCAGATCTCCATCCTCTTTAGCTAGAGAACCTTGGTGGCATTTCAGGTCTCCTGACACAGGTGTCAAGTCAGAACACCATTCAAAAGTCTTCAAACCATGTTTCCCCAGTGCTCAATTATTCCAGAATAATTTATGGAAACTGGGTGAAGGACGAAATTTTCTGCTACGGTGGTTGACATAAGCCTTTTATGCTCCAAATCTTTTTTTTTTTTTTTTTTAATTTCTACAAGTAAAATTCTAATTGGTTGCCCATCTGTCTTACCTCTCAGACCACATAATCTATTACATATGTATGGCCCAACTGCCACCCTGGCCTTGCTACCCTTCGTGGAAATTATGCTCCTTCCCTGTGACAGCGAAGTGCTGCTACCTGCTATCAGCCCACTACCACTAGAGGTCCAAGGTCTGTGGTACCATTTCTCACTACCAGCCCAACTCTACAGATGACAGGTACTACTGACCCTCTCAAGAAACCAGGGCCCCTTCCCTAGCATCTTCTTTTTGCTTTACTGAAGTATGCCCTCTAAGTCATCCTAGGGATCCTAGTCAAGTGGCATGTTCTCCAGACTCATATCACAAATCAACAGGCTTGCTTTTATAAACCGTCCCTTTCCTTACTCCTCTCCTCCAAGGTAGTTGTGGTTATCTTTTCCTCATTTGCTTGTGGTGATTGCCAGGTCCACACTTCAAAGGGACTATCCCGGCAGTGAATTAGGAACAACTTCAGATCTCCTTGCCAGGATATTAAACCCCATTTCCAGTCACAGCCTGGTCCAACACTCTCAAGATCCACTCCCAACTCAGTTTTCCCAATATACTCCACATCAGGTCTTGCAATTATTTTGATGAGGAACCTTTCTTCCTTCAGTAGAAACTGTACTTCCCTGCTCAGGCTGGGTTGTAATCTGACCCTAGTCATTGGTCTGGACACAATGAGGGGGTGTGGAGCAGAGGTTGACCAGGACCATCTTGTGAGGCATTTGTCTTGGGTATGGCCTTTGCATGGTCTCCAGGAAATGGATGGCTGCTGTCCTTTAGTTAAGGGATGGAGTCTTCTTCTGCCTGCTCTAAGGGTTCAGGGGAATGTGAGGGACCAAGATGGTACCGTTATCCTCGGTCTGAGTTCCTTTCTTTCCTGGTGGAAACCTTGACTTTTGTAAAGTTAACCTGCTGAGGATGTATCTTCAGTCTCCTTTGCAACTTTGCCGCCCTAGCACAAGCACAACTTGGAAGTGGAACTTAGCACATTCTACCCTGCAGTTGCAGATCAGGGTCTTTAAGCTGTGCCATAAAGACCTTCTGGTTTTGATAGCATGTCACGAGTTGATGGCTGGCTGAAGAGCCTGCCATTTTATTATTTATTTATTAGAGAGGTCTTGCTATGTTACCCAGACTGGTCTCAAACTCCTGGGCTCAAGTGATCCTCCCACCTCGGCCTCCAGAAGTACATGAGCCATGATGCCTGCCAGAGCCTGCTATTTTTAAAAAGGCTTTCCGTGACAGTTAATAGAATCAGCCCACTCAATAATTCTCTTTGCTACCACCTACTCCATACTATTGTGTAGTGAGCTCTCACATAACCCAACACTTCCTGTCCTCCTGTACCTCATCTCAAACTGCCACAGGCAATCTTGGCTGGTTGCTGTAGAAGACCCTGGGTTATCACCAGCCACCCACAGGCCTTTGCTGCCATCTGCCAATGACCGTTCCTAAATCTATTTGGAGGGTCTGCTTTCTGTGATGACTACTGGTGCAACTGCTTAGTCTGGGTTTCTTCCCAAAAGCAGAGCCTGAGACAAGGACCCCTGTTCTGGTAGTTTATGTAGGAGATGGAACCACTAGGTACAGGAGGGAAGGACTGGGGAGAGTAAAACGGGGAGGGGGGGGGAGCTGATCCCAATCATGAGCACCTGAGGCATGATCCCACCAGCACATTCTGATGTGTGTATCAAATACCTCTCAGAATTGTCACCCAAGGATCAGAGTAGCATCTTTCCATGGGTTCTGATCCCTCAGTGATAGCAGGTTGCCTCAGGAGGCAGAGTCCCCAGAACTTCTGGGCTCCACATTCTTTTTTGCTGAGTGGGCTCTGGCCATTGTCCACGACAGGGTGTCAGAGGAGCCTAAGAGAATAAAGCAAGTCTATGGGACACACTGGGAGGGAGCCTGCAGCTGGGCCAAGCTGAGGACAGGAGATAGCCTGCAGGGGCATCTACCAGCACATGGAACATTACTGAACTCTTTCACCACTGACTGGCACTTACCGTATGGCCATTATCTGTACAAATAACACTGGGATGAACTTCTCTGTATTTAAAGTTTTCACTCCCTTTTTTCTTGCATTGCTTACCTTGGTTACATTCCCAAAAATGGAATTATTAGGTCAAAGAGCATGCATACTTTTAAGGCTTCTAATATATACTGCCAGGTGTTTTCCAAAAGGTCTGGAATAGCATAGATTTATGTTCTGCTGGTAGTTTGTACACAAGCAAGTTTGTGTTTACTGAGCAAACACAAACTAGTTAATATTCTGAATTCACGTGTTTAACAGGCTCAAAGTTGTGATTTGAGACACTAAGGAATCACAGAAGCAATAAAACCTACTCATATTGCAAAACATCACATTTGTTATACACCTGCCCTTACTTTGGCCAACTTGAATGTTCTTCTCTCTGACGTGTTTATTTAAAGGCCACTAGAGACAGCCCAGGCTCTGCTGGATGACACAGGTCTCTCCAGAATAGTCTTTTCCCAAATCTTTGCCAGTCCCTGCCTTCAGGTTTCTTATTCTGAGAGCTGCAATTAGACCTTTCCAATAAATGCCTCTCCTGGAGACTCTGCTCATATGGTGTTTTGTTTCATTTGTGATATACACATCCTACAAGTAGGAGTGGCCTTTAAGGAAGAGTATAGGCTGGTTAGAGATAGATGCTAAGATCTATTTCCCCTTTCTTCATTTTTTTGGGAACTGCTTAGCCAGCTATCCCAGCCAGGTAGCTGTATGCCATACAACTGGCTTGGCAAAGCCTAATCTATCTGAATGGAATGCAGCTGAGTCAAGCTTCACATACATGATTGTATCCATTCTAATTTACACAGCTCAAAATAATCCACCAAAACCAATTACGAAAACGGAGGGCATGACCAGGTGTGGTGGCTCACATCTGTAATCCCCGCCCTTTGGGAGGATGGCTTGAGCCCAGGAGTTTGAGACTAGCCTGGGCAACACAGAGAGACCTTATCTCTACAAAAATTCAAAAAACTAGTCAGTCATGGTGGCGTGTGCCTGTAGTCCCAGCTACTTGGGAGGCTGAGGCAGAAGGATCACCTGAGCCCAGGAGGTGGAGGTCTAGGCTGTGGTGAGCCATAATCACGCCACTGCACTCCACCCTGGGCAACAAAATGAGACTCCCAACTCAAAAAAACAAACACCAAAGACTTCTAAACTTTAAATTTGAGCTGCAACACTTGCACCAGCAATGTGCCAAGTTTCATCTTGTCATAGGCAGTAAATCAGAGACAGAGGAAGGAAAAGGCCAATTTTTGCCTTGACAAGGGCACTGAGTGTCATGGTGCCTGTAGGAAGAGTCATTAGAAAAATCACTGCAAAAACATAAAAGATGAAAGCCCAGGCTGTATTCTCAACAGAGCAGCAGTGTCCCCGTTAAGCCCTTGCCAATTTAGGCAGCTACTTCTCTCCACAGGGATGGACCTGGCCAAGCCAGGAGGAGGCGCCCACACCAGGACCCCTGGAGGCAGTCCACAAGGGCTTCAACTCACATTATGTTCTTTCCATCAGGCAATACATTCCTAACGCCTTACCCTATTTGTCTAACTGGAATGCAGAGAGCAAATGCTATGGTTGAAATACTCTCCTTCATGAATCAGCTCTTCCCCAGGGTATCTTAAGATTGATTTAGGAGTTTCAGTTCTCCTGGAGAAAAAGAACAAACTGCTCTGCCCATGAAGAGACTTATTTCTAATACACTGCACTGTGAGCAGAATGCAGGCTCATAGGAAGAGACTTCTGGACCATTAGGAATGGCCTTCCCTTCTATCCCCAGAGTATGAAGGCGGCTGAGTAATCAAATGATAACACTGCTAAAGCAGCCATCTTAAGGCTGATAAAACAATTAAGTCTTAGGAAACACCAGGGAGAGATTATAAAACACAAAGCAATTTTAAAACAAGAGTGATAAGAGAAAGGTTGGCTAAGGGCCAGAGTGGCCACTAAGCCCCTGATGCCTCCTGGAGGGCAGGAAGCCAGAGCTGGGCTTCCCCAGGATGGGGAAGGCTCACCAGCCAGGCAGAAGCTGGGGCCCATACCATGGTAGTGTACCTCCTCTTTTCGCCTCCCCCACAAGCACCTACACACACAAGATGACTGAACGTTTCTCTGTGATTCATATTTTGAAAGTTCTACAAGGGAAAAAAAATTCACAAAATACATATCTGTCAAAAGCATTTCCTTTAAATCATCTTCTGCCAAGTCTTCTCCAGTGTGTTTACTGTCGCTGTTCTGAACTCCTGCAGCAGGAGTTTCTGGGGAGGCCTGTGACCAGAGCCCTCTTCCTTAGCGCAGTTCTTGGGACTTGGCTGTCATTCACTAGATAAGGCCAGGTTCTAAGGGGTCACCGAAAAGCGCCCTGCCTTCAGCTGAGGAACTCTAGACATACCAAACCAGACCAGAAAACAGATTTTAATTGTACATGTACAAATGTTGCTTTCAACTTATGACAGTTAAGAAAATATATACAAACTTCAGTTTAGAAGGAGAAATAAAAACAAACAATTCACACAATTGAGGGGATGATGCTTGAATCACCCCAGGAATCCGACTTTCTGTCTCTTGGGTCCCAGGCTTTCTTCCTTTTGTAGGACGCTCTGCAAGGAGGTGTGCAGCACCTTGCCCATTCGCTTGCCAGTCTGCAGACAGAGAAGGGAAGGGAGAGAGCACATACCCATTGTGAGGCACACACACTCTGACCTGGAAAAAAGCTTTCCTTTCTGCCAGCTAGCCATGATGCTGTACACATTCCATCTGTCTCAGAGGACTTTTATTTAATTAAAGCAAGTTAAAGCAAAAACCACAAACCCCAATAACATAATAGTTATATTTTGGAAAAGCCTTCATAAGAAAAAAAGAAAAAAGATGCCAATCCCCAGATAGTAAACAGGAAGCAGCAGAGCCCATCTCAACCATTAGCTCATGTTTAGCACTCCTGCTGCCAAGGAGCAACAAAGCTGTCAACCAAATCTGGGCTTGGTTACAGTCAAGTTATACTGAAGTGTGGTGAGAAGGCATAGAGAGACTGCAGGGAATCAGAGTTTAGCAAGCAGTTTCCACTACACTTCTCAGCAGAACTGCTCGGATGTGACTGAAGTCAATACCTGGATGGGATCTTAGGTGTTGCTGCCATACGGCAGATACAAGAAGGCCCCTCCAAACAAAACAAAACTCCCAACATACAAGAATCTTTCATTATGAAACTGTTATTCCATCTTTCTTTGGGCTCAAGAGTCATTTTAAGAATACAATGAACTAGCCACAAGTCTCCACCCTGTCAAGTCTTCCAGGTTTCCACAGCAGTCTGAATTCAGTTCTGCCATTGGTTCCATTCTCAGCAATGTCAGGGAGAAAAACACCAGGGCCTAGATCTCCAATTCAGTACTCCCAGTTACAGGTGTCTTCCCCCTGGTCCCTCGCTGTAACATGAAGTAAGATTCCAAAAACGATTAAAACTCTTATGAAAAGATGATCTCAGCCAGGCTCGGTGGCTCAGCCTGTAATCCCGCGCCTTTGGGAGGCTGAGGTGAGTGGATTGCCTGAGCCCGCGGGTTCAAGACCCGCCTGGGTAACTTGGCGAGACCTCTACAATAAATCAAAAAATTAGCCGGGCACGGTAGCGTGCGCCTGTAGTTCCAGCTACTTGGAAGGCTGAGACAGAAGGATCGCCAGAGCCCAGCAGGCGAGGCTGCAGTGGCTGGGAGCGGCCACTGCACTCCAGTCTGAGCAAGAGTGGGACTCCAACTCAAAAAAAAAAGAAAAAAAAAGAAAAGATGATCTCAATCTAAAAGGCTGAAAAGTGATTGACTCTATGAAATGCAAAGTTAGGGTTAAGGGTCAAAATCCTTTTGGAAAGATTTGTATCCTAACATTAGAAAAAAATACTCTGGTTTCTCTTCAGATTGTATAAATCTTTTGCCTTTTACAACATAAGAAAAAAATGTCAAAAGTCCACCAAGGAGATGCAATAGGCAGGACACCAAGACTTGGTAGGGCTTCAATGTCTCTGAATCGGGCTTGCAGGAAAGAGACTGCAAGGGCTGGGGGTGGCAGCCTGTACACAACCCCCAGGATCTCAGCTCCATGGCAAGAGTCATTTCCAGATTGCTGAGTCCCTATGTGAAATCAATAAAAAGACAAGGTCACAGGTTCCAGTCCCCCGACCAGAGTTAGCAGACTTCATCTCCCAATCCCTAGGGAAGGACGGAACTCAGTTCACTGAACGGAGCTCTGGGTCTCCCACCCACAGCAGCCAGAGCAGGTCTGGCTGATATGGCTGAGATAGCACAGTGGCTGACCAGGGCTCTGGTCTGGTTTGAATCCAGCATTTATGAGGTGTTAGGCCTGTAGGCAAGTTGCTTATCCATGTGCCTGTTTCCTAATCTGTAAAAATGAGGATAATAACAATAGTTACCTCATAGAACTATCAAAGATTAAATGACATAATATACTTAAAGCACTTAAAACCATGTCTGGCACATAGTAAGCATACAATAAATTTTAGCTATTATTTATTTATTTATTTTTTTGTTGTTTAGATACAGGAATTCTCATAAAATTCTCTTGGGGGGAGTATCTTCTAAAGTAAGGCTTGACAGTCATATCTAGAGAGACCTTTGGTAAAACTTGTTACAGTGTGCTTAACAGAGCACAGAGAAAGAGAGCTAACCTTTACTGAGAACTGATGATGTGTCAGATACTCTGACAAGGATTCACCTCCATACCCTCACATGACGCTCATAACTATTATTATTTCTATTTTCCAGATAAAAAGACTGTGGCCTAGAGCCAGGATTTGCAGCTGGTATGTCCTCATAGCCCATGCTTGGGAATTCCACACTAGATATTTTCATTTTGATCTTTTAGATACGATGATAAAAAAGAAAGTAGACACGAAGTGCTAGGCTTCTTCAGTGAGCAGCCATTGTTTCTAAGAATGAAAGAAGAGCATTTGTTATTAAGCAATGATTTCTGGGTATGTGTGGTGATCTGGTGGTTACCTAAGAAGTAATCAGATCCAGTTAACCCTTTTCCTGGGAGTTCAGGCAGTTGGTCAGAAAGTTGAGGTGGATATGGGGAAAGAAGACCTGGGAAGTGTAGGTGAACAGGGCCCAATCCTTGCCTGGCAGGATTTCTAGGCCAGTGAGGAAGATGGACACGTGTCGCACATAGTATTGAGAGCTGCAAGTGCCCTGATGGTCTGCCAGGGGCTGGGGGCTCAAGGGGAGCAATCCATCCTCAACCTAGGGCATCAGATTTCCCATTACCCCCACTTGTCGTCATTTAGACACTTCTAGAGCTATAAAGAATACACACACACACACACACATTTATATAATATGTAAAGAAGGACGGTCACCCTTCAGTCTCTGGTTCTACTTTTATTCCCTTCAAGGGACGGGAAGCAGCCAGCCAGGAATTTAATTCTCTCATCAAGTCACAAAAGTTTGCGATTTTGAAGTTACAAGTGACTGCTTACATTAACAAAGTCCAATTCTCTTGAGCTGGGTGCAGTGGCTCACAGCTATAATCTCAGCACTTTGGGAGCCAAGGTGAAAGGACTGCCTGAGTTTGAGACTGCACAGTTCGAGACCAGCCTGGGCAACATAGTAAGACCTTATCTCTACAATAAGTCAAAAAATTAGCTGGGCGTGGTGGCATGTGCCTGTAGTTCCAGCTACTTTGGAAGGCTGAGGAGGAAGGATCGCCTGAGCCCAATAGGTCGAGGCTGCGGTAGCTGTGATTGTGCCACTGTACTTCAGCCTGGATAACAGAGTATGACTCTGATTCAAAAGAGTCCAACATCCTTATTCAGAAACAGAAATGGCGTAAGAAAGGGGGAGTGACTTGCTGAGGAAAAGCAATGGTTACCAGTAGGTTCCCTACCTCTCAGTCCTGAGTCCTACCTCAGCAGGCCCTCAGCTCATACCAGCTGTCCTCCAAGCTCCAAGTCTGAGGTCAAGGGTTGAATGGGGAACATTCCCATGGTGTGACCAAGGGTCCAGGAGGTAGCAAGAGCCCCCAGCCAGGTCCAAGCACCTGCCTCAACACCCGAGCCTCACCTCCATCATCTCGAAGATGCTCTCTGGGTCCAGGCTGCCCTTCCCCACTTTCCTCATGCACGTCACAACTCCCTTGCTGGTCACTGACACCAGCAAGCTGGCCAAAGAGCAGGCCTCTTCCTGAAGAGTGGCATCCACCACATGTCGATAGCCAATCTGCAAAGCCAGGAGAAGCACAGGACACATGGGGTTATGCACTCCCTCAATCCCCACCCTTGATGGCCTTGTGGTAGGAATCTCCACAGCAGGCAAAGGGCTTGCGTTGCCCATTCAAGGTCTTAGTTTAGATTCTGCTCATAAGGAAAATGTTTGAAGGACTGTTCAACAATTGAATTGCAGGCCACTATGTGAGCTGTGCCAATACAAACATGAAAAGGAAAAATGGGGCGAGGGGGGCTAGAACTGTAATCCAGAGAATATCCAAGTCAGAGGCCCCCAAGGGTTTCCAACAAAGGGCCACTGGGGAGAAATTCACACACCAGGCCACATGGATGTTTCACTGATGCCATGGATGAAGTGGGTCCAGGCTAAGGGACAAGCTCAAGAATGAATCAAGACAACATTCACCCTTCTGTCTGAATGTTTCACCACAACCCAGTTCATGAAGTAACTTGAGTAGAATTAAACATGACCTGTTCAACCTTAATTTTATAAAATGAATCCAGGTCAGATGTAGTGGCTCACACCTGTAATTCCAGCAGATGAGAGGTTGAGACAGGAGTACTGTTTGAGCCCAGGAATTTGAGATCAGCCTGGGCAATACAGTGAGATCTCGTCTCTACAAAAAAATTTTAAAAATTAGCAGGTTGTGGTAGTGCATGCCTGAAGTCCCAGCTACTCAGGAAGCTGAGTTGGAAGGATCGCCCAAGCTCAGAAGGTTGAGGCTGTGGTAAGCCATAATCATGCCACTGCACTCCAGCCTAGGTAAGAGTGAGACTCTGACCCTCACCCCAAAACATTTAATATAATGAATCCTGAGTGGAATTAGCCACAATCCTGGCCAATACAGGTCTCTTCACAGTCTGGTCTGTGCTAGTTACATGACACATTAGCCAGATGTTCAGCTCCACAAGCCTCCGTGCTATGTGAAAACCACAATGGACATATCAGACACCCAGGATCTGCTCCAACCCTTCATTTCACAGGGGACAGTATTCACCACCATACCATTACTCAACCACTCCAGACCCCACAGAGTTGAGCACATTAAGGGAAATATGCATACAGGTGCATCGGTGAAGTGCACAGTATGCAGAGGAAACTTAACAAACTCTGGGTACTATTATTGCAAACTCACTTGTGCACACTCAGGACTATGTCACAGCTCACAAAGAAAAATAAAAGTTAAAGCTAACTTTACAGTATCTAATCTTGTAACCTCTCAACTTATTAAGTATCCACAGGGAAAACAAAAGTCTTAAGATACAAGCTTAAGCTAGGATCCGTGGCTCAGCCTGTAATCCTGCACCTTTGGGAGGCTGAGGTGAGTGGACTGCCCGAGCCCACGGGTTCGAGACCCGCCTGGGCAGGCAAGACCTCATCTCTACAAGAAAATAAAAAAAATAGCCGGGTGTGGTAGTGCATGCCTGTAATTCCGCTACTCGGAAGGCTGAGACGGAAGGATTGCCGGAGCCCAGCAGGTCGAGGCTGCGGTGGCAGGGAGCAGCCATTGCACTCCAGTCTGGACGACAGAGTGAGACTCCAACTCAAAAAAAAAAAAAAAAAAAAGACACAAGTTTATACCTTGCACAGAGTGACAATGCAGGGGACATTCTCCACACTTAGTCTAATGCAGTCATAAGGGTCATCTGACAGTTCAATGTCCTTTGACCCCTCTTCATCCTCCAGAACACGAACTCTTGGTATCCTGGAAAAGAAACACAATTAAAATTCACACTCACTAGGAATAACTTCCTTTTCTTGAGACTGAGAATAGGAGTTGGAATCCCTGTATCTCATAAGAGATAGTCACACTATGCCTGTACTTTACCAGTCTCATTCCTTTCATCCCTATCAAAAGCACACAGGCAGCACTGAAATGCAGTGAGGAAAGGAGTTTTATTTTATTTTATTTTATTTGAATTGGAGTCTCACTCCATCGCCCAACGGCACACTCACAGCCACCCCAGCGTTGACCCGCTGGACTCCGGCAATCCTTCTGCCTCAGCCTTCCAAGTAGCCAAAATTATAGGCGCAAGCTACCACGCCCAGCTAATTTTTTATTTATTGTAGAGACGAGGACTCACCAAGTTGCCAGGGCTGGTCTCGAACCCGCGGGCTCAGGCAATCCACTTACCTCAGCCTCCCAAAGCGCGGGATTACAGGTTGAGCCACTGAGCCCGGCTGGAACTGGCCTTTTCTAAAGACTCTGCTGCTGATATCAGCCAACTGCCTGATACTGCCCCTTCGTTTGTGATTTTGACACAACCCACCAGCAGCATTCCTTCTTGATAAGGGACCACCAAACGGTTTGGCCAGTCTACCCAGGATGTGCAGTGAGGGTTTTCGTGTCCCTCTGCTTCACCTTTTGTGGTCAGAGGGCCGAAAACCCACCCTTGTATCACTCCAAGGCCACCATTTTTTGTACGTGTGACTCATGAAGGGGCATGAAGCCCAACTGCACATGCACACGTTTCTCTTTTCATAAATATTCATGACTCCTGTATCTTATTGAATCGCTTGCTAGGTGAAGTCATCTGCTTCCTACCCTCCCCCACACATACTCCATTCATTCTTCTCTTCATTCATTACTGACCCCACCCAGCATCCACAGGCATCCTCTGAAATGCTTGCAACTCCTCCAACTTTTCTTATCCCTGGATATGGCATATCTAAGTCCCACCTAGAAAGCCTTTTTGGAAAAACTCCTATTCATTCTTCAAGACCCAGCCCAGATCGCTCCCCCTCAACCCACTGGCCACTGAAGGCCTTTTTGGGGCTTCTGGTTCCGGGGGCCCTGCTTATCCTCCATCTGGAGAGTTCCCACCTGAAGGCCTTTGCTGCTGGGATCTACCTAGAATGCCCTTCCCAGCCCCATCTGTGCGTGTTTGTTCCAACCATCACAGCCCCCAGGGCGCGGCTCAAATGCCACCTCTCCACAGAGTCTCCTTTCACTTCCTCCTTTGGACCTGAGCACTTCCTATCTGGCTCCTGGACTCTCTGTCTGGTCTTGATGTGACCTCTTAGGCACTAGGATGAGGGGCTTCTCCTGGCCACTAGCTGGTGCTGGGGAGAGAGGGCCCTGAGGCCGGAGCCCTTGACACTCCTGGCTGGGTGTCTCAAAGTCATGCTGGCCAGGCTCTCTCTTCCTGGCTGGCCTTGAGCAAGTCCTTTCCTTTCTGCAAGCCTCAGTTTTTACACTCCTCGAGTGGGAGTAACATTAGACAGGGATCCATTAGCCGGGCTTGGCGGCTCAGCCTGTAATCCCGCACTTTGGGAGGCTGAGGTGAATGGATTGCCTGAGCCCTGGGTTCGAGACCCACCTGGGCAACTTGGCGAGACCTGGCCTCTACAATAAATTAAAAAAAAAATTAAGCCAGGCTCAGTGGCTCAGCCTGTAATCCCGCGCTTTGGGAGGCCGAGGTGAGTGAATTGCCTGAGCCCTCAGGTTCGAGACCCATCCGGGCAACTTGGCGAGACCTCATCTCTACAATAAATCAAAAAATTAGCCGGGCGTGATAGCGCGCGCCTGTAGTTCCAGCTACTTGGAAGGCTGAGGCAGAAGAATTGCCGGAGCCCAGCAGGTCGAGGCTGCAGTGGCCGGGAGCGTGCCACTGCACTCCAGTCTGGGCAACAGAGTGAGACTCCAACTCAAAAAAAAACAAACAAAACAAACAAAAAAATTTAGACAGCCCAATAGAAAAATGGGCAAGACTTGAACAGGGACTTCATAAAAGAGGCTATTCAAATAGCTAATAAACACATGAAAAGGTACTCAATTTAAAAATTCATCAAAAACGTACAATATGGTCAAGTAGAGTGGTTCACACTTGTAATTGCTGCACTTTGAGAGGCTGAGGCAGGACTGCCTGAGCCCAAGAGTTTGAGGCTGTAGTGAGCTATATGATCACACTACTGTACTCCAGTCTGGGTGACAGAGTGAGACCATGACTCTTTAAAAAAAAAAAAAAAAAAGCACATTACAATGTGAGATACCAAGGCACACTCACCAGAATGACTGATATTAAAACAAACACCCAAAAAAATGAAAGGATTGGCAAAGATGTAGAACAACTCACAACTCTCATATACTGATGGTGGGAATATCAACTGGTAAAAGCACTTTGGAAAACTGTTTTGTTTTTTTTTTGGTTTTTTTTGAGTTGGAGTCTCACTCTGTCGCCCAGACTGGAGTGTAGTGGCCGCTCCCGGCCACCGCAGCCTCGACCTGCTGGGCTCCGGCGATCCTTCCGCCTCAACCTTCCAAGTAGCCGGAATTACAGGCACGTGCCACCAAGCCCGGCTGATTTTTTGATTTATTGTAGAGATGAGGTTTCGCCAAGTTGCCCAAGCGGGTCTCGAACCTGCAGGCTCGGCAATTCACTCACCTCGGCCTCCCAAAGCGTGGGATTACACCGAGCCCGGCCAGAAAACTGTTTTGTAGTATCTACCACAACTAAATATAGCTATACCCTATGGCCCAGAACATTCATCCCCAACAGAAATGGATAAATATATGCACTAAAGACATGCACAAAATGTTCCTGTCCAGCCCCATTTGTAATAGCCAAAAACTGGAAACTAACCAGATGCCCATCAACAGATATGGATAAACTGTGACACATTCACACAATGGAACACCATACAGCAAAAAGCAAGCTATGACTGTAGGCAACAGCATGGATTTCTCAAAACATAATGCTCAGTGCACGAGGCAGACACAGAAGAGAACATACTGTCTTATAGCATTTATATAAGTATAAAATGAATCCATTGTTTTAGGACACTGGATATCAGTAGTGGGGTAATGACTACACGGGAGTATGGAAGATGGGGGATTCTTCCAGGGTGCTGGCAACATTGTTTCTTGACCTGGGTGCTGGTAAACACATTTAGCCCATAAATCAAGTTCCTCTTGTCTGGGGTGAAGCAGCCAGGAAGGAAGAGGTGGTCCATTCAGCTAATGTAACAGAAACAGTGTTGGTACTTTTCCCAGCTTCTCTAACAAAGGGCTCCTATGATTCAGCCCTGCTGACCATCCCTATTCAAGGCAGCATCCAGACCAGGGGAGCTTCAGCCAGAGAATGTTCCCAAGCATCTGCTAGGGTCTGTGCTGGTTGGAACTTCCACATCAGAGGCCCCAGGGTATAAGTTCTTAAGTACTAAAGAATATCCTATTTGAACAAGTCAGGTAACCAGTTTGAATTTTGGTTGGAATGTTAAAAAATAAGTGTGTGAGGGCTGGGCGCAGTGGTTCATGCCTGTAATCCCAGCACTTTGGGAGGCAGAGGCGAAGAGGATTAGCTGAGCCTGCGAGTTCAAGACCAGCCTGGGCAACATGGTGAGACCTCATCTCTACAATAAATAATAAAATTTTTTAAAAACCCAAACATTAGCTGGGCGTGGTAGCTCATGTCTGTAGTTCCAGCTACTTGGAAGGTTGGGAGTTGGGGTAGAAGGATCATCTGAGCCTAGCAGGTTGAGGCTGGGGTAGCTGTGAGCAGCATGCCACTGCACTGTAGCCTGGGCGACAAAGTGAGACTCCGACTCAAAAAAATAAAATAGCCGGGCTCGGTGGCTCAGCCCGTAATCCCGCGCCTTTGGGAGGCTGAGGTGACTGGACTGCCTGAGCCCCGCGGGGTTCGAGACCCACCTGGGAAGCGAGACCTCATCTTCTACATAAATCAAAAAATCAG